GATTTTTTTTGTTTAATAATACTTTTAGTGTAGTTTCTAAATATATAAATTTTGTATATTAATATTAAAGAGAAAATTACATTTTTGGTCCTGTGACTATTGTGGTCTTGTTAATTTGAGTACTTGACTTTAAAAACTATCAATTTAGAATTTTCCTTCTTCTTCGCGTACCAGCGACGGTTTCGCCGGACTACACCGTTGCCTCCACCGGACTACGTCGATGCAATGCCAAAGCTTCCCGTTGTCCACCCAAAACCAGCAACGCGAAGATGAAGCAACGGCAGCCGAGAGCCAGCGACGCCTGAAGGAGGAGAGATGCAGCGACATCACCGGAGAAACTAGCTCGCCTCCGCAGCTCTCAGCGCCGATGACATCCTGTAGCTCACTGGAGCGTGGACTGTGGACGAGTCGACTGCGGCTGAATTCTGACAGAAAACCAGAGGCGGAGACGGCATCGCGGCGGTCCGGCGGAGTTGCTAGCTCGCTAGCTGTAGCTTCGGAGTCCGCTCTATATGCTTGTCGCCTCGTCGTCTACTATGCTCACTGGAGCGTGGAGTCGTTGCCTCCTTGAGTCAAGACGCCAAGATGGATTTTCATAAGGTTGAAGCAGCGATTCTGTGAAGCCTGAAGATGAAGAAGTCGGCAAAGGGAGGTTAATTGGGGCATATTTCTATACTGAAGCCCATGAGAAAATCCAAAGAAGAAAAATTTGTAGCAGAGAATGGTGACTGATGCCCAAGTGAGGAAATATTAAGGTGTTGGGAAAAGTCACGTGGTGAACCCTGTTGAGATTTGCCACCAGGAGGAAAGGAAGTGAAAGTAGATTTTGGTAATAAAATCGTCAAAGTACAATTCATTCATATCGTAAACTTTACCAAATTATATAAAATAGAGATAAGTGGAGTTGCTAGCATGCCGCACATGAAGGGTTTGAAATATATGGTGATTAGCCCTGGGCTGGGTGAAGCCCGGATAAAATACTGGAAGGGAGATGGAGCGGTGGATGGCTCAGATTGCCCAGTTTGCCGCCGACTTGCCGCCATGCTTTCCACGTTGCGTGCAGTGTTCCATGGCCGATTGATTGTAAGTGGATTAAACAAACGAAAAAGAAGAAAGAAGAAGAAGTTTTCAATGCTTTCAAAAAAAAAAAAAAGAAGAAGTTTTCAAAAAAAAAGGAAGAAGAAGGAATGACTTAAAATGACTATTTTGCCCCCAAGAATAAAAAATTTAAGTTTTTCTGGCAACATTTGACCGGCGATTTGGTCGGGAAGACTAAATGTGTTAAAAACTGCATAGTTACGGGACTAAATTGATAGTTTTTAAAATTAAGTACTCAAATTAACAAGACCACAACAGTCACAGGACCAAAAGTATAATTTTCTCTAATATTAGACTTAATTATGAAATTTTGAAATAAAAATACCTTCAGTAAATACGTCACTACAAAAAAAATCGCGAATCGCGAATGGGCAATATTCCGTCGCGCTGTCGCGATTCGCGATTTTTCTTGTAGTGCGTCTTGTTAACCGAACCATATATATACATAATAAGACACAGAGGGAGTAATACATAGTATGCTTGATCGTGAATGCAATTACCAAAAGGAGCAAATTAAATGCGTCAACATGAAAGACTTGCAACTAACAAATGCAAACTATCAAGAAAATAGATCTAAAACCATTAATGATTATCCGGAGACTTATCATATATTACTACTTTACACGCGTATTATGTGAATGAGTTAATGTCCAATGTTTATAATTAAATAAATATTTGAAAGTATATCAATGCAAGATTGCAAGATTATATATTAGAAGTTCATACATAAGTAATTTAATGTCGGATTTGTTTATTTAAATATGTAACTCATAGTATATAAATACAATGTAATATAGAAGATTCATTATAATTGTTACTAAACTTTTTTTTTTTAAATAGTAACTAAGTATTTTTGTTACAAAGGGTTCTAATATATTTAATGAATGCACATATATACAACCTCAAAGAATGAATCAACGGTATCAGTCCTTTAGGTTTTTTGCTCAGTGTTCATTTAGTTCAATCATTATTGTTGAATAAATTATTATGGATAAAAAGATTCCTAATTTAAGGAATTTAGATTGGACGATGGGTAAATATGGTATAACCCAAAGATCAAAATGTTAAAGAAAGTGTTTGGTTATTCAACAGTTTGAAGCAACAATTTGTTCCAAACCACTGAAAATACAAACATTGCAATTTACAATATTTTCACTTAGTGTCTTTGAGAAGATTTCCCCAAAACACCTATATATATATATATATATATATATATATATATATATATATATATATATATATATATATATATATATATATATATATATATACCCATGCCACTTTTCCCACCGATGTGGCAAAAGTGGCAAAACTAAGGGGAGCCGAACTTTCGGCTCCCCATATATTGTATTATTTTATTTAATTTTATTTCTTTTGTTAAATTATTATTATTATTATTATTATTATTATTATTATTATTATTATTATTATTATTATTATTATTTATTTTTTTAAAACAATTATTATTATTATTATTATTATTATTATTAGAGTTTTTACCCATTTTGGTCCCTTGACTATGGCCCATTCTCAATTTTGCATTCAGACTTTTAATTGCACCCAATGTGATCCCTCGACTTTTAAAAGTTACCCCAATTTGGTCCTCTGTTACCTTTTCCATCAATTAGGTGTTAAGTTGGGGGGTATTTTGGTCTATCCACGGAGGTGCTCACCTGCATCTTCTCCGGCCGGGAGGATGCGTTTTTGGAGAGCCCAACCTGACCTGATATTCCAGATTTTTACCGTTCGATCCCACGAGGCAGAGACGATGGTCAGCTGCAGATTATTGGGGCTGAAACGTACGCACGATACCCATTCGGAGTGCCCGTCCTGCTCCTGGATCGTGTACTTGCATTCACCCAGGGTGTTCCCTAGCTTGATGGAGCGGTCACGGGAAGCGGAGACGATCTGGCGGTTGTCAATAGAGAACGCCACGGACAGGACGTCCTTAGTGTGGTCAACGAAGCGGCGGGCGGTGGTGCCGGTCTGAAGATCCCCGAGGCGGAGCTCGGCGTCCCAGGAGCCGGATAGGGCGAACTGTCCGTCGGAGGAGAGGACCACGTCCTGGACGAAGTGACCGTGTCCGGTAAGGCGGCGGCGTGGGACGCCAAATTATGTGAGCGAATTTCTTGGGCAAGTCTGGCTTACAATATTATGTAATATGCATATAAATGTCCACGGCCAGTTGTGTTCACTCGTCTACGGACATGTATTCATAAACCAGAATCATTTTGTTGTTCTCTCGTCCACCAACCCCAAATACATGTTGCCGATGCCGATGATTTTGGTCGTCTCCCAGTTGTTGGTAGCCTCCTGCAATTCTGAGAAAGAGAAATACCTGCCAAATTCCGATGTTGATGAGAAGAACAGGTTGTTCTGTCGGGATCTTAACGGAGTGTTGTTGTTGGGGTTCGTGAAAGATGTGTCTCCGGCGTGGACGGGAAGCAACCACGATGAGAAACTGCTCCTCCTCCGTCAAGCAGATGAATAGACCAAAATACCCCCCAACTTAACGTCTAATAGATGGAAAAGATAACGGAGGACCAAATTGGGGTAACTTTTAAAAGTTAAGGGACCACATTGGGTGCAATTAAAAGTCAGAATGCAAATTTGAGAATGAGCCATAGTCAAGGGACCAAAATGGGTAAAAACTCTTATTATTATTATTATTATTATTATTATTATTATTATTATTATTATTATTATTATTATTATTATTATTATTATTATTATTATTATATCCTTAGGTCATTTTACATATTAATCTAAACAGTTTATTTTTTCAAATATCTTTTACCAACCGTTATATAATTCGCTGGTCAAATCCGCTAATTTAATCCACTAACGCTAACCGCTAACTGCTGATTGTCAAACACGGACATTGCGAGGTAGTTTCTCACTTCAATTTGTTGTGTGATTTGAATACTCTCTTTGTCAACAAATCCCTCATGTAGTTACTATGATTGGTTTAATTATATATTTTTTATTTTTTTTTTGGTATTAATAAAATACTTGGTAAATAAATATATATAGCATTATTTTGTATTATAATTTTGATATTTAATTAAAAAATAGTGCACAAAAAATATAATAGACAATGTAGTGAATATAATCAATTGACGAATTTGAATGTAAAGAATTTTTTTTTTTTTTAAATTGGAAAAAAATAAAGACAATATAACTAATGAAATTATTTCTCTTAATTAATTTATTGATAATGAATAAATTTTTTTGAATAAAGACATTGTAGGGACAATGTAGCGAATATAACCAATTGATGAATTTGAATGTTAAAATTTTTTATATTGGAGAAAAATAAAGACAATATAACTAATGAAATTACTTATCTTACTTTTACTCTATTACATTGTAATGTATCTATTCAAAGCACAAAGAGACAACGCCGCCACTGAGGCTTGATCTCATGACCTCCCACATTAGAAAGATCACTACATGCCATCTAAGCACAAGGTGCTTGGCTACTTTTATTTTTTTATTTTTTTTTTGAAATAATAATGGTTGCAATATATTAATGAATGAAAGCGACAATAGAGCCTGGGGGGACAGAGTCCCAATACAACGGAGTAGCCTGAGCAAAGGCTGCTGCAGCAAGAGTATGAGCATGTAAATTCAAACCTCTAGAAACCAAACTAACTGAACAATAATGAAACGATGACAAAGCAGCTCTAATTTCAGTAACAATAATCCCGAAATAGGACAAAGTCGGGGCGTGTGTTGATAGAAGGCTGTTGTGTAGCTCCGAACAATATGTAAATAGGTCAACCATAGCCACATTCCGATTCTTCAACCAAGATAGTGCTTCTTTACATGCAAGTGATTCAACCATTAGTGGGGAGAAGCAAGCCGGTAATTTGCTGTTACACGCCGCTAAGAAGCGGCCATCAATGCAAGAAGCACAGCCCCAAAAGACGCCACCCGGTGGCATGGTCGTAGCTTGCATCGACGTAGCACCTGGAGTGCAAGGAAGGCTGCAAGGAAGCGTCCACTGCCTGGTGTTGAGTATGCCGGTGTACCTGCTGCCACCCGGTCAAAGCCGAAGAGGCTAGCCTCCAAACGGTGCTCGGCGGCGGTAGAGATCTCTCCCAATCAGCTTGGTTTCGTGCTTTCCACAAGTAATATAGAACTGCCACAACAATTTCCGCAAACTCCTTAGGTTGAGAGTGTAAAACATTTTGCATCCAATCAAAAAAAGATGCAGCAGCTACGGACAAAAAAGTCACGGCAGCCTCATGCCAAACCAACCTAGCAAAATCACATAATAAAAATGCATGCATAATATCTTCATGTTCAATACCACATTTGGGACATGCGGGATCAATGTCTACCCTCTTTATAATCAAACTCAAAGTGGTGGGCAAAATATCATTAAGAGCTCTCCAAACAAAGGTCTTCCATTTTTGGAGAACATTTAGTTTCGAAATAGTTGTCCAACTATCAAAAGTTCCCGGGGCACACTCAAAATTCCCAACAATGTGCCTATAGTCTCCTTTAACCATGTAACAACCCCTAGGGTCCTTATGCCAAAACCAAGAATCATCATTGATGGATTTAATTAACCCGGGGTGGACCCGAATCAATAAATCCGAATAAGAACGCAATATGAACAATAAATAAATAATATAGAACGACGTCGTAAAGGCCGTGAGACCGTATATTATATTAAATGTCGTAGAATTGGCTATTACAAGGATTTAGTAAGACAAAGTGTGTAGAATAGTAAGTAGTTGTCCTAACAAGGTGAGGTGGGGGGGTTTTTATATGCAACAAACCCCCCCAACCGCTCCCCCTAAAGAGGGGGGCGGTTAGATCGCCCTTTGACCGGGGACCCGGGCGGACCGGGTCAGGTCGGGTCCCGAGCTCGGGTGGTGCCGAGCTCCCCTACCCGAGCTTGCTATGGGCCGAGCTCGGGTAGGGTCGTGCCACCCGAACCGAGCCCCACGTCACTCGGCTCGGGTCTGGGCACCTCCAAGGTGCCGTGGGCCGAGTGCTTTTGGGCTCCAACGTGGTGCTCCGGGTCCGCGTTGCTACCCTGGGTCGGGTCGTGGATATAATATATCTGTCATGAGTCCCCCACTCTCTTCGTTGCGAGTGGAAAAAGAGTATCCGTGCGCTGACCCGAGCCCCAGGTGGAAAGTTCCGAGCTCCAAATTTTAGCCGACCCCATCCAAGAATTATAACGCAAATAAAATTCTTCCTCCGCGAAACTCTTTTCAGATGAACTAGAATCCCTACAAAAGTGCAACATTTCCGTATAAAAGTCTTGGAAAACCTCCCATATTAAATCCCACTAAATTTTCCTCCCATCACCATCACCATCAATTCTCTATCTTCCCAACCCCTCCCTCCTCCTCCTCCTCCTCCTCCTCCTCCTCCTCCTCCTCCTCCTCCTCCTCCTTATTATCATCATCATCATCATCATTATTATTATTATTATTATTATTATTATTATTATTATTATTATTATTATTATTATTATTATTATTACTACCACTATTACTATTACTACTATTACTATTACTATTACTACTATTACTATTATTATTGTTAATGTGACCAATTGCCAATTTATTCGAACAATTGTATAATGTGTCACGTTCTATGTTGTCACTTAAGTACACAATGTTGTATGGCAAGCCTTGCCACTTAAATTATATGGCAAGCACCGCTGCCTCCTAAATTATATGGTAAGCTCCGTGCTACCTTCTAATTTACAAGGTAAGCTCCGCGCTACCTCTTACAATAGTTACATCGAATAAATTTGGTGTTGGTCACAATAAATTAAATGAAGATAGAGATTTCCGAACCTATCTTCAATTTTAATTTTATATTTAAACAAATACTAAGGGCATGCCCCGCTGATCATTTGTCACATGTCGATTACAGGAAATGACCGTCATGAACTCCTAGGTGTTCTGTGTACCTAACTGTGACTCTAATATGATCTTCAATGCACCGAGCAGGGAAGGTCAGAACTTTGGTGCTCCGCACACAAACATACTTTGGTGCCCCGCGCACAAACATACTTTGGTGCCCCGCGCACAAACATGTAGTCCAGGCTACACTGCTCGTTAAGGATGCACTCCGAGTGTTATCATTTTTATTTGCTGAACATCAGTTTCTACTTTCTTAACTGACAAATACTTGCAGTTAAGAAAATGGGGGACTCATGATGGAATAATATAATATGCATGACATATTATTGCTATTATTATTATTATTATTATTATTATTATTATTATTATTATTATTATTATTATTATTATTAATAATAATAATAATAATAATAATAATAATAATAATAATAATAATAATAATAATAATAATAATAATGATATTAGTCAAAGGAGGAAGAAGTCATAGCAAGAAAGTAGGGAAGATTAAGGGAAGTTGGAACTGCCAGGAAGCTAAGTTACTTTATATAAAGGCTCAGGAAGACAGAGGAAGGTCACGCCAATCTCAAATATAAAATCTCTCATCTACATACATATTCTTTCTTCTTCCATATATTTCATGGCCATGGCCTTATCTATGTACATGTACTACCTACAACTTAGTGGATTTCGGCTTGGCTTAGCCCAAAAAGGCTCGTGGTTTTCACCGTATTGGTTTCCACGTTAAATATCTTTGTGTCCTACCTATTTATTTATTGATTCCCTGCAATCACCACTTTACATTATTCATATATTTTTCTATGGAGATTATTGATCCGTATAAATACATACCCTGGGTCGTACCCTGGAACAATTTTCTCCATCAATCATAATCCGGGCTTACAGGAAATTCTTACAATTCGATCCACATCCTACGGGTCCAAAATATCTGATAAAATATGAGTGTCCCAGGTTCCAGTATCCGGATCAATCAACCTTGAAACCAAAGCACCCCTTAGCTCAGCAGGCATATTAGTTTGGACCATAGGACTTGGCTCATCAAGTAACCATGGGTGTTCCCAAATCAGAGTGGTCTTGCCATTACCAATTCTCCTTCTTACACCATGGCTCATCAAGTAACCATGGGTGTTCCAAATCAGAGTGGTCTTGCCATTACCAATTCTCCTTCTTACACCACCGTAGACTAGGGCATGTGCTGCCATGATACTGCGCCAGCAGTAACTAAGACAATTGCCTAAACTCGCCTCATAAAATGTGGATTTCGGGAAATAGCGGACCTTATAAACCTTAGCAACAAGAGATTTCGGAGTAGTCAAAAAACGCCACGCCTGCTTCTCTAGCATAGCCAGATTAAAAGAACGGAGATCCTTGAATCCCAGTCCTCCAAATTTCTTAGGAACACACAACTTGTCCCAGGCCTTCCAGTGGATCCCCCTATCATTGCCAGATCCCCACCAGTACCTATTCATTGTCCTCTCCAAAGACATACAAATAGAGACAGGAAGAAAAAAAACACTCATTGAGAAAGTAGGCATAGATTGAACCAAACTTTTCAGGAGAATTTCCTTACCTGCCTGCGAGAGTAATTTCTTATTCCAGGACCCAATCCTCTGTTTAATTTTATCTTTAATATAGGCAAAAACAGTTGTCTTATTTCTTCCAAAAAAACGATGGAAGTCCCAAATATTTCCCAAAATTAGGAGCATGGGACACTCCCAGAAGCGTGGCTACTTCTTCCCGGGCTTTAATAGAAGTATTCCTGCTAAAGCAAATACTAGATTATGGAAGTTAACTTCCTGACATGACAACCTCTCATAAGTGCCCAAACATTGCTTGACCCCCCTGCCTCCTGAGAATTAGCTCTAAAAAACAATAGGCTGTCATCCGCGAAAAATAAATGAGAGATAGGGGGAGCTCCCCTAGCCACTATGCACCCACGAATCAAACCACGAGTTTGGGCATTGTAACACCCCCGATTTTACCAACATTTTTAAAACTTAAATTCAAAGATAAAGACTAATCGTCAAGCAATCAAAAACGGAATCTAATTAAAAACCGAGAAGCGTTATGCCACACCCATAAACCATGGGTGCACAGGCTAAATCTACAACAATCCCACAAAACAGTATCAAGTCTAAGGCACACATGCCATGTCTAACAAAGGCTCATAGGCCCAAAACAAAGCAACTAAAAGAGGGGAACTACACTAGCTACCACAACGACTAGCGCGCTCGTCATCTACTCAAGACCTGTAAAACATAGGGATAACACCCAGTCAGCAAATAATGCTGGTAACCCATCAATACGCGTTAAATAGCATAGTATAGATAGATATAATCAAAGCCATTTTAAACTGAGGAATAAAATATATATCATTTTAAAACCAAGGAAGGAAGTCAACATCAAGGACTCATCACACTCTCAATAAGAACGAGGATCATCAACCTCACAACAACAACAAGACCACAAACATCATAGACAACACAACTCAGGATGCAACCTACCATTCACAAGATAGAGTACATCAAGACACGGTCATAAGCAAGGGAATCATACAATCACATTATAACACATTCATGTTTCACGTTTCATAGTTCCAACCTTATGCCCTGTTCCAACCTTATGGCTACCCCCGGCCTTATACCAGTTCCAACCTTTACCTTCTAGTGCCACCCTGTACTTCTGAGTCCAACCTTATTCTGCCTGGGACTGTCGTCCCCCACCAATCTTTACCACCAATCATAACCGTATTACCACCGATCTCAAGTACACGAGGGTACTGTAAAGTCATAATATTACCACAGATCTCGTGAGCAAAACTCAATTTATTACCACCAATCTCAATCATAATCACACACAGTCATCATCATCATCAAGAAGATTGAGGCTCATCAATAGCCCAATCGAGTATCAACAAAGGGTACAACGACTCGTACAAGATCACATCATAAGGATCAATCAAGAGACTTCAATAAAGACATGAAGCAATACTCAACAACGAAGGACACAATCCAACATCAAATGATTGACAACACAAGTTGCCAACCCCAATAAGAAGGGACAAACCACACATACTAGCATAACAACTTCAAACTAGCATGCTCAACAAGTGGGTAAACCAAAATGGTCCAAACGAACCCTCAAGACTCATAATAGCCCAACGAATCACAAAGTTGGACCCTTAACACAATTCAAGACACCAAATCCTAACATGGATTCCTAACACATCGTTCTAGACACACGAAACATCAAGAAGACTCACAAATTGTTGGTCCCGAAAGGGTGGCGAGAAGTCTAGAGGGGGGGGGGGGGGGTGAATAGACTTCTCTAACTTTTTCAAACTTCTTCTGCAAACAACACTTTGTATCTTTAACTCTAAGTAACAAGCATAAACAAGTATAACAGCTTAGAGTGTGCACAGCGGAATTGTAACGGCAAAGTGTTATGCTTAAATTGTGTAGTGCTCAAGGAGAGATTCTATACATGCATCACGTTAGAAACACTTGATATAGATGTAGGATGATGTATATAAAATTTCACTTGCATGCAAACGAGGGAACTATCAAACCCAGATAGATAAATATACGCAATAAACCGTAACGGGT